TTGTCATCGTGCTATTATTAACCACGGAATAAAAGTAAATAAAATTGGATGGACGAAATGTTTTCATTGAAACGCACATTTGTGCAAAAAGTCGGTGCATAAGTGTTAATGCGTTTTGAAAAAAAAATCGAGCGTATAATAATGTTAATTTATTATACTCGATTTGCGCAATTTTGCATAGATAATTTCAATTGGTTTTAATATTCTATTAAGCATTAATTTATATATCGTGGTGTTTATTTATGGAAATGAGGAAAATTTTTTCATCATGTTCGATCATCATCCATTTTTCTTCTATAATTTCTATATATAATTTTATAAATTTTTATACAACTAATATTCATTTTCCTTTCGCAAATATATCATTTTGTTTCCAATTTTACTTTAAATCTTAATCGAAGAATGATCGGTAAAGAAAAAGAAAAATGTGAATTTTCTTTTTCTCGCCTATTCTTCGACGAGATATCAAACTGTGCAAATATCGTGGAAATATCGTTGCGGCGGGAAATTTAAAAAAAATTGAATCCATCTCTACATTCTGATTTCTTTCTTTTTATTAATTTCTCTTTACTTAAATCGATTTTTAATCGTCGAAAACCAATTCTTCGTGTATTCGCATTTTCGCATTCGAAGGAATGATAATATTCTCACCGTTCCCTTCGTGTTCCTCGATAAACGGATAAGCATCTAGGAGCACAATTAAACCAAGTGGAAATCATATTGCGCCTTTTTATTATATGCATGCGACGCTAATCGCTTGAAGGCGTTGATTGAAACCGACTCGGTTTAATTACAACCCCGCGTAATTAGAGATTCTAGAGAGAATCGAAATTAAAAGCACGCCAGCTGGTTGCGTGCATTTTGTTGCATGTTTCCACGATCGAGCGTCGCGATATTTCTTTTTCGAGCATAAAAATACTTGTCGCGATACTTCGAGCGAAGGGAAACGAGATTTACGAGCCGCGTGAATCACTTGAGATATACTGGTTACTAGACTAGGGATATTTATGCATCTAGGAGAAATTCAACACCAGAATCGCCAAATTTTTTTATTCTCGCATTATACTTACTCATTTTTGCACCGCTCTGTGTAATCAATTATACGGAATTATAAATAACTTATATATATATATTATAAATTATATATTATTTATTATATATTAATTATATATTATATATTATAAATTATAATTATAAATGATATTTTTTTAAATCTATAGATATGTTAATATTAAATTATCTCGAGCAAATAAAAATATGTTGATTCAAAATTAGTAAAAATATCGATTTAATCATTAGGACAATTATCTACAATCGATGTGTAATAATATTATTCGTATTATTCCATATAATAATGGAAAAGAGATGGTAACAAAAATTAAAATTATCAATATTTATCATCGTGTCTCGAAGATCCATAAAAAAAAAAAAGAGAAAAAAGAAAAAAATGTGATTCTCGGTTCGATTTCACCGCATCTTCGAACGACTCCATTGTCTCTCCATTGTGGAACGTGGCTCGATTGAAAATCATCGAGACACATACACGCGGAAATTCGGCAAGGAAGGGCGGAAAAGAATGGTCGGAAGTCCGTATCCGTTCGTGTGCGAAGAAATTACATTCGTGTCACGCGCTTTTGTCTCGTCGAATCGAGAGGGTATATACAAGATGCGTACAACCAGCTTCGACATCTTTTCGATGCTGGTCAAATTCGATTCGACGTGCTTTGTTTTCTTTTTCTTTTTTAAAGGAGAGAATCGTCTGTATCTTCCTTTTTCTTTCGACGATTTTGCGATTAAATTAAACGACGGATCGCGCAAAAAAGGGAATTTAGATACTTTAAAAATTCCCTAGATTTTTAAATATCCTAGGAATTATTTTAACGCATTATGATAAAGTAGATTTCGATAAATTATGAAAATTTTTGTGTAATCGATTTGCAAAATGTAAAATCCATCTATTCAACAATTATCAATATTAGAATTTCGAAAATCTTGTAAAAAAACGCAAAATTTTATTGCAACGAAACTAAAGTTGGGCATTAACCCGTTGAAAAAGATAACTAGTTAAACATTTTGAATATTGAAATAACTTATCGAAGTGACTTTATTTATAACTTCAACTAATATAAATTTTGTCTGTCACTGAACGAAACTACTAGTCTATTTTGTTGACCTCGAATTTATATTTGTTCCTATTCCTTGATAAAAAAATAAATAATATAATAGTATCATGCGACGTGTTATATGCATATATTAAAATAAAAAAAAATAAAAATACATGATAAGATTAAATTTCGTTATTTTCGAACACCAAAATTATAACATAGTGCATATAAAATCCTGGAAAATTTAGTAAATTATTTCAAAATTTTATTCTATATTTATTTATACTTTATATTATTGCAAAAAAATATGTAAATCTCGTTTATAAACTAATCTCATTTATTTCTAAAAAAGTTCGTATTGATAAAATAGAAATTAAAAATCTTCTCAAACGGACATAAAAATTTAACATCAAGTATCGATTTCAACGAGAAATGAAATATAACGCACGTTCGTAGTTTGATATAAAAATTCATATATATATATATATACATATATAATAAAGAGAGATAGGATTAAAAGCGTGGAATGAGACGGTAACGTGAACGAATACGTGGGAGAAAATCATTATATCCATTTGACGTTATTACCGCGTTCGTTCGAACCATTCAGAAGGGATATCTGCTCGTTATTCGTAATGCGAGTAGCCGGCTGGGCTATATAAGTACGGCAATTTTCAACGTGTCGCGGTTTCCCAAAATAATACGCAACCTCCGCCTTCAAAATTCGATCAAGATTTTTCGGCGACAATCGGCGCAAATTTAGCTCACAATTTAGTATTTTGCCTCGTTAACAGTGGAAAAAAAAAAAAGGAACACTGGCAACCCGGTTCAAATTGACGTAATTAGAGGGATTATGATATTTTTAACGTTTTTTCTTTCTCTTTTTCTTTTTTTTTTTTTTTTTTTTTCAACTTGTTTCTTCCTGATTTCGTACGAAATTTTTGCCTTTTAATGATTAAACGCGATATTTATTCCCTTTACAATTGTTCGAAAATTTTCTCTTAAAAATTGAAATATCGTTGATTTTTTTTTTTTATATAAAACGAATCTAAAAAAACATATTTCAATTT